TTCCAAAGCTCTCACGAGCCCATCTCTATTGTACCATTCCCGCCATCTTGCTATATCCCTCTCTCTCTTTCTTTCTCTCGGTTACACTGTTGTCCCCGCCTGCGCCGGTGGTTGTTGTTGTTTCCTTTTGACAAATTTAAGCCTCGCTCTTCTTCTTCTCCTTCTTCTTTTTCAAAAACGATGGCGTACGCAGTCCCTTCTTCTTCTTCTTGTCTTTCTTGGGTGAACCGTCCGTGGAGACATCCTGGAACCGTAATAGAAATTTGCAATGAGAATATCGTTTGCATTTCAGTTAGTAAAAGCGATGGTTTTTGCTTGTGTTAATCAAATGAGTGGAGTATACACATATACATATATACATATGTATATACATATGCATGTAGTATTCATGTATGTATGTATATGTTTGTGAGATGGTTGATGAGCTTCTGTGTCGACTTAGCGCTGCCTAGACTGCAAGTGAGAGCGTTGAGCATATCCAATTGGAATGGCTTTGCATATCCAATTGGAGTAGTTTTGCTGGGTAAGCAACTTACCTCTTTACTGCTTTGCGAGAAGGTGCTTAGGTGCGCCTCCGAATGGTCGCCATTTTGTACGTTTTCACCTGTTCAAAGTGGAGTAGATAGATCGCATTAGATATATTAGGTAATAATTAATTGGATAACAGTACTTTTATGTAACTCAATGGACGCACACAAAATGAAAATATATATATATAAATATATATATATATATATGTGTATGTATATGTTCAGCATTAGAGGACGCGCACACGCAAAATGATTACGAAAATTAAATTTCATATTAATTACAAACAAATAATGTGAGTATATATGTATATGTATTTGTATGTAACTACTTACATACATACACATGTGGTCTGTGCATATGTATGTATTTTTAGTATACAAATGTTAGACTAAACAAACACAAGCATGCAACTAAATGTTAACATAAAACAAATACTACAAAAAAAAAAAAAAACATTTAATTATGTAAAAATGCGTGTTACCTGTTATTTTCTTAAATACCAAATGAATGCGAACTTAAAATATTATTTACATTGCATTGCAATGAGTGAAAATGGCTGTGAAAAACATTTATTGTAACTGGTGGATTGGATGTGCACTCAACAGTTTAATATGTAAATTATAGTATATAAAAATAATGCATAAAAATATAACAAAAATAAACACAATTCATGAACTCATTAACTCTAAAAATAAGTAACAAATGACAAATTTGAGATTGTTCCATTTCCTATATGATAAAAGAGTCCGTGATGTGGAATGGAAGGTAGACTAAATTTATAGAGGTTCTCTTAGTTGTGAGTTGAATGGAATGCGAAATGGAAAGCTGAATTAGTTGCTTCGCTGCTCTTAATTGTTCCAAAGTCTTGTTTCTTTGATGACATGTGGGAAAGGAACGTCGAAACAGAATTCATTTACTCCAGTATTCCCTATTGTTCCCGCTGGCTACTTGGCTCTGGTTCTCTTGACCACGCCCTTTATATCGTCACGCATCTGCGAAATGCGTGTGCGGCAATCATAGATCACGGCTCGATTGTGCAGCTCATGAGCCCGTATTATGCTGTTCAACAGATGCTGCAACTCAAGCTCCAGTGTGCTGAGCAGACGCTGCAGTGCGTCCGCCTCGGGGCAGCTGTGCCCATTGCTGCTCGATGGCATGGGCGACGCTCGTGGCGCCGACGAATCGGAATCTCCCAAGGCCACATAGCTGTAGGTGTGACACAGTGCCGGCGCCGAGTTGCAGCGCTGCACCTGAGCCATTGCTGTGGATGGTGTGGGCGTGGCCAGTGCAGCACGCGGCTGCTGCTCCAGATGAGTGTGACGCTGCTGCATCGCCAGCTGCTGTGATATGTAGTGAATCTCATCGTCGATCACCTTCTCTAGCTTCGTGCGAAACTCGTGCTCGTGCGCCTGCACCGTCTGCACGCATTCCGTGTCACGCAGCGACACATTGATCACGATCTCAATCGAGGACGACTTCAGCTGGGATTGTGCCTCTGGCGAGCTGCTCAACGTTAGCCTAATATGCTTGCCCTGACTGTACGCCTCGGCCTCCTGGATGGATGAATCGTTGCTGGTGGTGCCGCGGCGCACCCGTCTGCCATTGCTGCTGCTACTGTTATGGTTGCCATTGTGATTGTGGTTGTTGCTGTTAATGTGGCTGTCACCCAAGCCACTGTCCACTCCGTTCAGGTAAATCGCTTGCTCCGCCTCCGGCTTGTCAGCCGTTGCGGCGCCATCTTTGGGCAGCGCATGATTGTCCGGCAGGAAGCTGCGCACGGTATAATTGCTTGGATACAGACTATCGTCATCCCTGTCCTGCTGCTGCTGCTGCTGCTGCTGAGGACTGTTATGAGTCTTACGTAGACTCAGCATGGAACTAAACTGCGCCGTCAGCTCCTCCAGCGAGTCGTTTGCGCTTGGAGCTGGCGCAGGTGACGATGGCGACGATGCCATCAATTGTATCTGCATTTCAGAGACATACGAAGGCGCCGATATGCCAGCCTCACCCTCTGCCTCAGGTTCCAGTTCCGGTTCTGGTTCCGTCTCTGGCTCAGTCTCCGCCTCAGCTGCTAGACGCTTGCCCGCACTGGCACTCAAAACATTGAGCATCTTGCGCTTGGCAAAGCTCAGACTGGTCAGGTCAATAAAGGAGACAACTCTCTCGCGCTGCTCAGCCACCGTTTGCCAAATGCTTTGATTCGCCGGATGCAGCAAAATGCTGGGCGTATTCGCTAGGGGATAGTTGAAGCCGTAATGCGAACAGGTGCGAAATGGTGCAGCTGGCGGATTCATCATACTATTGCCAACAGACTGCTGTTGTTGTTGTTGCTGTTGCTGTTGATATCTGGGCGCTCGGATAGGTGTGCTGCTAGCATGCGGATGGGCAGCAGCAAAACTGTCCATTGTGTTGTTCATGTTGCTGCTGCTGCTGCTGCTGTTGCCATTGTTGAGCAGTGGATAATTGTGTTTATATGCTGCATCGATCTTATGTAAAACATTCACCTGAACGCAATCAAAGCGCGAGAAGCTGGCGCCAGTGTAAAGAAAAGAGTATTTCTTGGCCAGATATGAGCACATGGCTGAGAGAAGGACGAGAGATGCAATGAGTGCGTGTGTGTGTGTGCGAGTGTGGGTGGGAGTTTCACATGAGACAGGGAGAGCACAAGGGATCGGACAATGGAAGAACAACAAACAGCTTAAACAGTGACAACAACAGTGACGTAAGTATTAACAGCAACTGTAAAAGCCTTCACACTAACACTGATATTGTTGCTAACAGTAACAACAATGTGGACCTCTACATTTAACAGTGACAATAACAGTCATTTCAACAGCAGCAGTCGCACTAGTGTTAACCTTAACAGTAATTAATATTTAATTTCCATTGCCAATTTGTAAACTATTTACTTAACTAAAATAAATATTTAAACAAATTCAACCAACTCAAAAGGAAATATTTATTGTTCTTCATAAAAAATAAATCCATTCACCATACAATCCACTAGTAGTTAGTATATAAGTATAAAATATGATACAAGCTCATGCCAAGTTACATTATAAAAATTAAGAAAATAGTTAAAGATTCTGTAAAAATTGAGCTGAAAAAAGTTCAAAATGTCTGTTGACTTGGCACGTAATACAGCTAGTATAGATATCATCCATTCAATGGGATTGATAGTTTTTTTTTTGTTTATTCATTTTCTGGAGGCTTTTTTTCGTCTTTGGGTTCGTTTTTGTTTTCGTCTTTCTGTTCGTTTTTGTTTTCTTCTTTTGGTTCGTTTTCGCTGTCGTCTTTTGACTCATTTTCGGGGTTGTCTTCGCAAATGGGAATATTATCAGCGAGTTGTTGATCTTGTTCTTGGGCCGTTGCTTGGTTCATTTCATTCTGTGATACTTCTAGAGTTTGTGCTGGAGGTGCATTTTCATTAGCTTCAGTTCCTTCACTCATTC